AGATAGTGTGGTTTCTTCTAACAGGTAGTGAGACGCTGGCCGACCATTTTTTTTTCTATATTTCAATTGTTCCATTACAATATTGAACAAAAGGACTGTCGCTCTGTGCACTTAGCAATATGGCGCTGTTGCCACGCTGTTGCCATGGCCATGACGCTCCGTACTGTAGAAAGACAAAGACAATAAAAAAGTGAGTGTATCTTTAACACCCTAACTTCAAAGTTAAAACTTAAAAGCGATTACCAATTCAGTGACACAGTGACATTTAACGATTTAGTTGGGATTATCGCCTCAAATACTAACTTAATTCCATCCGTGATCATAGACTGATAGTGGTAATAATTGAATCGCTGCAGGGCGTTACACGTCGGTGTGACGCGCAGCCGTCGCGTCGCGAACCCACGCAACCTTTCCTTTATAAATATTGAATGTCAATACGATTATTTACGACAGATATGTTGAATATAAATGAGAGATAAAGGATCAAGTTCGATTTCTGTATAAAGAACTGTGACAATAGCTCTTTTGTCGAGTCAGCCATTTTATTTGTATGCAAATTAAAATCTTCAACAAAAGACGGTTCGTGTCGGATAATCAAAATATCTGAACATAAGAAAAGTATCAATTTGATATGCAGGTTCGCATAAAAAATACAAAAGGGGGTAGGTATGTAGGTAAATACCTACATAATATTAGTAAAGTGAAAGTAACGAATGTGAGTAGGGTCAGCAGACGGACCTGTGAGAAAACAATAGCACATCAAATGGAATTCCTAACTATCACTCGATCAGATTGGCATCTTTACATGAATTGATATTATGGTTAATCTACGATTCATCAACCTCTTTACGCCTGCTTTTAAACGTCCAATGTCCCAATATAAACTTACAATTACCCAAAATCACCCCAATCTAACCTAACTAGCCTCCTAAAAACGTGTGAATAGTTTTTTCAATATGACCAGGAGTGGATATTATGACATAGGGCAGGAACCCACGTAACACACCTACCATTGTGACCAGCACGCGACCAGGTAGCGAGGTGAGGTGGTGCACCTGCCGACAACTGCCTCACTCTTTGTGCCACAAGTGGGTTACAAAAGCAAAAAAATCACGGCAAAGATCAGCTGTAAGATGATTCTATTTGCGTGTGTAGGCAGTCACACAGGTCAAACAAAATCATTAAACTCTTTGCACAAAACAAAGTTCGTTCCTCCAACGATCTGCATTTGAAATGAAGCCAAATAAATATTCTAACGCACCACGTTATGCAACCAACTGATTCACGTGTATTCAGCATACATAACAAATAACCGGTTTTAATTTTCTGATAACACATGCTAATATAAAGGAAAAATGCTGTGAAAAATTACACATTTTCCTTCTATAAAATATAAAGTAAATATTGCAGTTTGCACCTTATTCAACCAATGCAAAACGTATCAATTTATTGAAACGCTTTCCAACACTGAAATGTTAAACTCAACACTTAATTAATAATTTGCCTTATCAGCTCATAACTCAAAACATAATTTTTCATCGAAATGCGAAGGAATTTTGTAAAAATAAATGGCACAAGCATAGTTAATTAAAATTAATGCAAACCGCCAAGCGGTGTTGTCAACGCGAAAAAATAAAATCTCGAAGCCCGCCAATTATTTCAATTAATGGTACGTCGCGGTGTCGACAGGAAAAGGAAGCGTGCGGTTGGGATATGAGCTAAGTATAGTCCGCGATTGTGCACTGAGTGACAGCTAGGCTTGATTAATTAATTCGTGGCCCTCTATTCGCCGAGTGGGGATAATAAATCGTGCGTTCTGGCCTCCCGTGAGATGTCGCCAAAGCCAGACACACCGCTGAATAAATGATTGAGTCAAACGCAAACATTATATGTGTCGGGACAGAAATAAACGGCTAATGATGTGTTATACAGGTAAGCGATAATAAAGTCCTCAGATCTCGTTACTTTACATCATTAGAATTCCCGGATTGTTCATCAATTTTGACTCGCTGAAAATGTTTCGGGATTATATTTGTTTCGGTTTCATTTGATGCATCTTTAGTTATTTTAGTTTCGAATCTGGATTATTCTATTATTGTATTTATGTTGGAAACAGTAAATCATATGACAGCGTGTGTTATTGCTGAATGCATGACATTCATGAATCATAGCCACGTACGAGTTGGTAAGTACTTATATTTACCGTGATCGTCAATAAAAATTATTACATGTCCTCCTAATCAACCGTCATCATTATTAGCATAGGAACTATAAACCAGTGTGGTGAGCACAAAAAATGACGCCAAAATATCGATGTCGTTCCTTTTGACGAATTATGAACATGCACAAAAACAGTTCCGCTAAATAAACAATATGCAGTCGAATTTCGTAGTGCCGTCGCAGATGGGAGCCTTGGCCCTGCAATAAAACGGGCTTGTAACCGAATCGCAGCCGAATTCGTTATTAATAATGATATCGGCGCCATTTTGTAAAAGCCGCCACATTGCGGGCGTCACACGTGTTGCATAGATGTCGCCAAATATGGTATTTGTTTGATGTGTTGTGAGAGCTGCGAATTTCGTTCATTTTATTCCTTGTGGAAAAAGCTGTGAGTTTTTACCGACTTCAAAAAAAGGAGGAGGTTCTATGTTCGGCTGATTGTTTTTTTTTGTATAGGATGTTTTAGGTTTAGTGTGGTTATTACCCAAATTAAATATGGAAAGAAATGTCCATAGGTACTTACATTATATACCTTTTCTGAGACTTGCTATTTATTGATGCACACCTTTAGTGTCTATTTGTGAACAATGAACTTATAATTATGAAGATTATCGGGCCGCATTCAAACCCTGCGTCTAAGACTTAACCGGATTTATCTACTTATAAAAAAAACGCTGCAATACCTACTTTTTATTATAGGTAGAATAGCTACTTTCTAAACAAAGGACCGTGAGATGTCTGGCTCGGTTGTTTACTAAAGAATAATAATAATAATAGAAACTGCAATAAACCCTACGTAAGACAGGTCAGTTAGTACCTGATACTAACAATAGAGGGAGCGGATCACAGATGCGGCGCAAACGCTGTTATCTAAACAAAACAATAGACAAAGTTTTTTTTTTCTATCGGCCAGTCTAAAATACCACAAATGGTTTTATTGCGAGAATATTCCGGTGTAGGCTCCGAACTCAATTTTGCTCATGTTAATTCAGAAATTAAGATTTCATTCTTTTCATTTACTGGCAAGGACGTGTTTGCAAAAAAAAAATTGTCCAAGGTCGTCTCTAGACTAACTATTTTACGCGTGCAATCGTTACAATTACAATATTGTAGGTAACTACATCATTCATGTCCAAAGTTTGAAATAAATAGAAAATAACCAGTAAATCTTTATTACAATTAAGTTTTTAACTTTCTACATAGAAGTGAACTAAAATACAACTGGCTAAAATAATATGAAATACTAATGATAAGCTCAAAATGATGAAAATTTACTAAAATTATGAGAAGGTACTTAATCAGTATCAAAACAAATCAAATGATAAGCTAAGTTGTAATAAAAAATGCCATTATCTCAAAAACATCATCAATAATTCAAAAAGTTACAGATACCGATAAAATCAATGCGTTATATTTAGTTAAAGGCAAGTGCACATTTTAAATGTGGGTAGGTAAGTTCATGTGGCCGATAAGGAGGGTAGGTAGGCCTTATTTGACTGTCATGAGTTCCAAATAACGGGAGTCAAACTCCAGGCACAATTCCAAACTACGTGCTATGTTTTTTCGGCAATCGAACAGCACAATAAATAATAACAATAGCGCGACCCGAGTCGAACCTGACGCCGCTTGCTCGGTAATCCCGCTTGCAACAACTTGACCATTGAAGCAGGTAGGTAGTAACAAATTGTTTTAATTTCTCAATAACAATAGGAACATTTAAAATGCCACGTTTAGATAGGTTAATATAATAAAAGTCAGTCTTTCTTAGGTATTTACAATCACTTGTAAATTGTTGAATATTACAATGTAAGTTCTTAAACATCTACACTTATTCTAATGCCTACTCCCGGTTAAAAAACTTCACGAATTAAAAGTCGCCAAATAACGATTCTATATTAACCCTCTTTCAGTTTAAATATAATATTTTACCAAAACAAATGGACAAACGCTTAGGTATTAGGTAGTACAGTACCTACTTATGTATGTTTATGTGTAGATAATTTGCATATATGAGTCGTCCTCAATATTTGGGACATACCTATTAGCATAGTGTTAGTACATATTTCTCTATATGTGTACAAATAAATAAGTTTATAATTGAGACGGGTGGTTCAAATTTTTGCGCCTACGCACCCTCAGTCGATTTGTTTACAGTTATGATTTTGTGCATCCATTCAAACTGCAACGACGCGACGCACCGACGCCATGTTTCGTGTTTTTTTATTACCTACCACGAGATTTTGTTGTTCATCTGTTAGGTAGGTAAGTACCTACATATTATCATAAAATCTACATCAATAATTATTTATCTTATCCATCTACCTACCCTACATAAATCTAATTAATATAATTGTCATTCATTGAAGCACATTGTCTCTTAATATTTTAACCCACCCAGCATCAAAACTAAACGTGTTTCATTCATGAAAATCAGAATAAAATAGTAGGTAACTTAACACCCAAGTAATACCTACAGAGATAGGCAGCTTATCAGGGTGCCGTTGTCATAACAACCGGTTGCAGTTGGCAACATAACAACATGTCGCCGGTTTACAATACTCCTTGCTAACAATACGTCAACCATCACAGACAACAAACTTCGCCGGGCTTACAAAATGCCGGCAGACAATACGACTGACTCCAACTGCTTGGCTAGACTGGAACATGGTCTTATTAAACAGTTTTAATGATAGAAACCTTGTTATGTACATGTAGGAAGATAATTTGTCTGCTGGATCAGCTGCTTTGATAAGAGTAAGGTAAAACAAAAGACAACTTACCACTGGACTGTCATCGCCAAGATCCGAATCTCGGTCGGCGTCGGCCATGGCGTACGCCGGCACCGGCTCTCGGTTCTTCACCCGAATCTTGGCGGCTTTAACAAAGCTGAATACAAGTAACACGCCACGGTAGGCACGTGCTTAGATCACACACTCGCGTCGGAAACACGGGATCGGATAGAATCGGAACGCGGGCCGCAGCGGCGAGAGACGAGCGTCGCGTGTGCGAGCACGGAATGGTATGGCGCGCGAGCTCGCCGGCGGCCGGCTCGGTCCCCTCTCTGCGAGGCCCCGCCTTAAGGCGTCCGCGTCACGGCGAATCAAACCGCGCGCTATCAAACTGATATTCCCGGCGCACGCTCCGCCCGCCACACTTATATTGTTTTTATTCAAGCTATAAAATAATCGCGTGGCATTGATCGCTCTTTGTGATTAATAGCGATAGTGAAACGCGATATTAATGCGCCTTAATCGGGGTTTCGTTTGCGCATTTAATGAGCCTGTTAATGTTAGTTTTGTTAGTACGTATAGTATAGCTGGGTTTGATTAATGGATTCGATGAATGAGGTCGGCTGTTAAATGAACAATCCATTCATTCACCAATCTGTTTCATTTTAATTGGTTCTTAGAATTATTAATAAGATTGGGATAGGTTTTAATAAGTTTTGTTTATAAATTGGGGAAATGTGATGAAGTTACGTTAAGATAACATTAAAGTAACGCGTTGAAGTCTTTACTTAGCTTGTATGTACCTAAGTATCAATAAATGCTGATTATCCAATTAGCGTGTTGTGATAGAAATATCAAAGATAACTAAGTAATTAGGTACGTATATTACTTACGTACTTAGAATGTAATCAATTAATTATCCATGCTTACCTTTAGTAGTGTCACACGTATTACCTATCATGCGATTGCCTCGTACTTAATCTACTTATATACCTATCTATATACCTATATATATAATAAAGTCGTAGAAAAGTCAAAACTGTACATTTAATATTTATAAAAGAATACGTGGGCCGTGATTTACCATCGATACCGAAGCCAAATGTCTGGAATGATCTCAAAAAGTACTGCATGGATTTAAGTACTTCAAATTTTTAATGAATATTACTAACAGGTCGGGACAACATATAGGCTACCTACATATTATCACGCCATCATGTACGGGGGAGAAGCCGTGTACTAAGTACTGAATCAATTCTGACGACATTTGTTACCGTAGAATATCTCTTGATAAAGACTGATTCAAAAGCATAAATTCTGCCAGAAGTCATTATTCTACGCGGCCGAAGTCGCGGGCAACAGCTAGTTATCAGATATAGGTATTATTTTGTTTGTTTTGTAATTAGGTGAGCAATAAATAGTGGTCACAAAATTATATTTAAATTGATAAGTAGATACTTAAATACTACTATTTATGTACTATAAAACTATTAACCCTATAGTTTTATAGTATATAAGTAGTACGCCGGGAGCGTAGATATACGCGAGACACAATGTGTTATCTATTGTGTCTCATATGCCAGCAGACAAGAGGTTAATCAACTACTTACTTTAAAACTGAATAAAATGTTTGTTTTATACGAAATAATACAGGAAAATATATCTACAACTACACCAGAACTATTCTACTACAACAGAACACTACAGAATTATTCTACTACAAAAATTCTTAGCTTAAAGCTAGATACTTTTTCCTGTAAGTAATAGGTTCTTTTTTATATTTGACTAGCGACCTGCACCGATTTCGCACGGGTGCAATAAATGTGGATATGTATTATACATATAAACCTTCCTTAAGAAGGATGATAAATTTCCCTCTACCTATGAAAAAAAACACATCAAAATCCGTCGCGTAGTTTTAAAGATGTAAGCATACATAGGAACAGACAGACGGCGGATAGCGACTTTGTTTTATAGAGGTACTATGTAGTGATGTGCCAACGCTGGACCACTATCTCGCCTAGGTTATTTTATAGTGTTGGTAACCTATACTTTATTGTATTACATGTTGAATATATTTATTTCGACAAGTTTGAATATCATTTCGCATCTAGGGGCCAATTAGTTAGACTAGATATTTAGGTAACACTGCTGTGCAATGTATTTTTTTTTGGGACATGCCCGCCACAACTTCCAAAACCGCTGCAACTCCTGTAAGCCAGGATCTACAATAGATACAACCATGAAAACACCGGAACACTGAAGTCCGGCGCGTCCCAGGGACATGAATAACTGTCTTGGTTCCCACAACGAAGTGAATCAGAAGATATTATAAGAAGAGAAGAAGAAAAAACTATGATTTCCACTTCCCTCGGTGAATTACTGCAGGAGATTGTGCAGTGTATTGCAAAATGTTGCAAAGAAAATGCAAGATACTGTAGCATTTGTACCTCTAAGGGCCTGTTTCACAATATCTGGATAGCCGTTATCTACCAGATAAATGACAATGACCAAATTTGTATGGAGCGTGGTGCCTTTTCATTTTTTCGCGGCAGTTGATCGAATGTGGATAAACTGATGCAAAATAACATTACAAACAAAAAAATGTATGGGGTCTTATATCAAAAATACAGTCCGAACCGAGTTAAATCAGTTCAAAGATGTGAAAATAGTGCTATATAATTCCTGTGATTTTGTTGATGGTGACCGTACACAACGCATATTTCTTAATTTACTTGTCAGAAATATTTTGTAATAAATGTTTATAGCGATATCAAGGAATATAATAAAGCTTATTGTGGACGTTTTTATTTATTTTTTTTGTTTGTTATATTTGTTTTTTTTTTTTGTTATAAGGCTACGGAATCAGAACAGAGTGAATCATTAACTGACCACTACTGAAGAAAAAAAAACATTTCGTTTGATTGGGTAGCGTGTTCAATTTAACACGGTTTATGGCCTATGACAGATTTTCATGATCAATTTCTTCTCAGTCAAAAACCCGCAAAATACTTCACTGACCTCTATCATGAAATGCTATTTTTGTCAGCTGCAGCGTCGGTAGCGGATTGAGTAGTAACAGTCGTCAAAACACGAAAAAAACATTTTTCTGTCTACTTCTCCCGACTTACCTACTTCCGATTAGTGACTAATCTAACTACAGTTAATACTTTAATCTACATCCAGCATAAGATTCTGTACAAAGACATCGTCATTCAGTCACAAAGTGATGCATTTCGAATGATTACATTATATAAAAAAATTATGCGCTCATCTGACGTATATTCCATCACTTTACAAAGTCGACGGTTTGCTTTCTTCAAAAGATTATGCTAACTATAAAGTAGTTGAGTCTCCCACCAGGAGTCAACGACAAAAAATACTTTATTAGATGTTTGGACGGCTACAACTACTCAACGCACCACTGGTACCACAGTTGACACTCTGAAGCTTCATGACACAACTCCTAGAAGCATCCCACAAGTTATCGACTAAGAGAAAATAGGTAATAAAAATTAGCGACTGGCAATATGGATATATTGTGGTGTAATTTGGTGTTTCTGTGCCCGGCGTACAGTGGCGCGCAATTTAAAGTTAGGAATTGTGACAAAAATCTGAATAATTTGAATAAAAAAACGAAAGTAAAATGTTTGATTCCAGCTTCTTTTAACACTCATGACTCAGTCCAGACTGAGATTTCCATATATGAGCCCATAGACAATTTCGTTTGTAATGCCATTCTAGATAATATTTTTCATAAATCATCGACTGCCGCCAGAAAAAAGAAAGGCACCAATTTTAGTCAATGCCCTTTGAATTAAGAACGTAATTTGTATGAACTATCTGTCACATAAGTTGATCAGGTAGATACTTATATAGAGGTGGTGAAACCGGTGCTAACAATACCCGGGATAAGAGTCATCATAAACAACTTTTAAATGCCCACTGCTGAACACAGTCTCTTCTCACACGGAGAATGTTTGAGCATTAATCACCACGCTTGCACAGTGAGGTTAGGTTAGGTTAGTCCAGGTTTCCATACGATGTTTATCTTCAACATTTGTCATTGGTATCTAGAATATTAAAAACTACATATAGCTCGGAAAAAGTCATATTGGTACTTGCCGTTGGTAGGTTTCGAACCCGCATGAGAAGTTTCGTGAGTCTTACTCCGGGCCACCACGACTTATACCTACGGGATAAGAATAGCAAATAGGAATGTTGACTATTCCAATTTCTACTCTGCAATCACTTCCGAAACCAACTTTAACAATTTAGGTATCTTATAATAGTTTTGTATTGTAGGAATGACAACAGGATTTGTAATACACCAACTGCCACACTACTTAGCTCTGATGTTAGATTGGTGATACTGGTTTTAAAAGAAACAGAGACAGCTGGATCAAGATACCAGTCAGTGGCATGACTACATTGTCGCAAGTTGTCGAAATACCATGGACCCCCAGCAGGAAGGATCCCTGTTCAGAGATTTTCATTTGAACTTCTGTTTTATATTGGGAACAGGGTGCTTACTCATGAAACCAATCTCAACGTCAACGCAATTGCAATCCAATGAAAAGTCAATAATTATTCAATGTCAAAACTATACAACCCCTATTGTAGTTGTTAAAATAGCATTCAGAGTACAGAATATAAAGCCAAACTTAATTCCATTTAGTTCATTAAATATCCACGCAATACGGATGCAATGGGTGCTAGTGTTAAAACTCAAGAGTACGAAATTTCACAATGTCAATTTCGATCGATCGGAATTAGATTCAAGAGTAAGTCCACGAGATACCATCCGGTGAATTAGCCATGGATCCCGAATGGTATGAGTAGTCACGCCACTGATACCAGTGCAATAATTATCCTGTAAAATTGTCTAAAGAAACCTTAAATATATCTGTTGCAGTCAAACATTAATATCTTAGATCTTAACTAAGTATTTGCCCATTTTCTCAACTAAGGAAATGAAATCTATTCTTTAACGATTTTCATAATTACCATGGATATATGTATAATTGTTTCGACGCGTAGAGAAGGTTAAACAGTGGTGTGTTGGTAAAATTTAAATTTGCGTTGTATCGATTAGTAGAAGGTACCATTTTAATACGTAGGTATCGATGTAGGTTACTATTTATAGGTTGGTTTTGATTTTAACAAGTACCTAACACGTTAGAGAGTCTAGAATTGTACCCATTGCTTCTATGGCTGACCTTTACCCCTTACTCCATATTACATTGGACGGTACTTTATCATAACTGGTGAAA